GCATGTTGGAGAGGGAGTGGTCAGTTTTAACCCTGCTTGACTAAGATGCCATTTAAAATCTATCTAGCATGTGGATTGGTTTGTATATCTGATGTCAAACTAGATCAAGCACCCTTCCCCCAATTTATAGCAAGTACAGCTACTATTCATCCAGTGCTGCGGTGCTAATGCTAACCGTGACGTTCTTTATGGCTGTTTCTTGTTTGTTGCTTGCGTCTGGACTTTGTGCAGCAGTTAGTGAAATAAGTGTTAATTACAGTGGTCTATAAACACAATAAACGAGGCTGGCGTCTGGATGTTTTGTTATTTTCGGTGATTAGAAGTCAAAGGATCTAACCACATACAGAAGAAAGGCATGAAAAACAATGTAATGCAAGCAGTTTTTTTCCAGCATCATGTCCAACAAGTCAGAATAAGGGGCTGCAAGTTGTTTGATGGTTGAAGTATTGTAAAAAATTTGGTTTATTAACACAAGAAGCAAGACTGGTGTGTATAAGATGTGTTGGATTTTTGTCTGGTTCTAATAAAAGTCCAAACCACACACAACAAGGCAATTTATATCAACCTACAATTACCAAAGCCACAGACCTCCGCTGCTTTCAAAGGCCTATTTTAACAGTGCTATTTTTGATTAGGTGAAACGCTAACATGTTCTCTCTCCGTCCCTGTGTCACGGATACGCACCGAAGCTGAAAATGTGTATTAATCCACAACAGCTGAATATATGAGTGACTGAGCCAGATGTTTCCGTTGTAAACACTTTTTTTTTTCTCTCACTGCGATGTCATGTTTTGTGTGAATGTAGCGCTGAGCATATGGGGCTCAGGCAGGAGCTCTGTGGACGTCCCTCTGTGGACATTGCTCTTTCTCAGTCGTCTAATGCCTTTTCGGAGTATAGAGGGAGAGGAAGAGTCAAGATTACATTTTCACACGCCCCTGAGAGCAGCCGGCCACATCAGCAAACCTCCGAGCTCTCTCCTGTGCACTCCAATGAAGACTTCTTACTAACACTTTTATATCATAGTATCATAGAGGAAATTGTGAAAAGGGTAAATAGTTTTTTATTAAGATTTATAAACATATTAATGACAGAACCAAATGTAGGTGTTAACTGCATGCCATAGCAATATTGTTAAAAATTGAACTTCACAAGATCGTCCTGTGTCTTGATTTAAAGCTTAGATGGAAGTATGGACGTCCGACAGGGGAATAGGTGTCATCATCAATAGTGTTTTTCATGACCTTGGCCATGGTCTGGTCTGGGACCAATCCACAGAATCTGATTTCTGATAAGCTCAGTCTATAGGAATAATTTGATTTGCCACAAACTCACCTAAAACCATTTACGTCATGTTTTATTCAGAGTTGTCTTTGCATTTAAATGTTTAAAGCTTGGGACAAAGCTTTGTTAATTTTGTTCATTATTTTGGTAAACAATTCTTGTAAAAGTAAAATATTGTGTAAAATTAGAATGTGGCCTGCAAGCAGTCTCTATTTTAAAATGTTATTTTGTGTATGTACAGTATGTGAGACTTTTTGGGCTCAGAGGTGTCTGAAAAAGTTGATATAAAGATGTGAAGATGATGCATGTGAAGAGGATGCATGTGAAGAGGATGAATGTGAAGAGGATGCATGTGAAGAGGATGCATGTGAAGAGGATGCATGTGAAGAGGATGCATGTGAAGAGGATGCATGTGAAGAGGATGCATGTGAAGAGGATGCATGTGAAGAGGATGCATGTGAAGAGGATGCATGTGAAGAGGATGCATGTGAAGATGATGCATGTGAAGAGGATGCATGTGAAGATGATGCATGTGAAGAGGATGCATGTGAAGATGATGCATGTGAAGAGGATGCATGTGAAGAGGATGCATGTGAAGATGATGCATGTGAAGAGGATGAATGTGAAGAGGATGAATGTGAAGAGGATGCATGTGAAGATGATGCATGTGAAGGGGATGCATGTGAAGAGGATGCATGTGAAGAGGATGCATGTGAAGAGGATGCATGTGAAGAGGATGAATGTGAAGAGGATGCATGTGAAGAGGATGCATGTGAAGAGGATGCATGTGAAGAGGATGCATGTGAAGAGGATGCATGTGAAGAGGATGCATGTGAAGAGGATGCATGTGAAGAGGATGCATGTGAAGAGGATGCATGTGAAGAGGATGCATGTGAAGAGGATGCATGTGAAGATAATGCATGTGAAGAGGATGCATGTGAAGAGGATGCATGTGAAGATGATGCATGTGAAGAGGATGAATGTGAAGAGGATGAATGTGAAGAGGATGCATGTGAAGAGGATGCATGTGAAGAGGATGCATGTGAAGAGGATGCATGTGAAGAGGATGCATGTGAAGAGGATGCATGTGAAGAGGATGCATGTGAAGAGGATGCATGTGAAGAGGATGCATGTGAAGATGATGCATGTGAAGAGGATGCATGTGAAGAGGATGCATGTGAAGATGATGCATGTGAAGATGATGAATGTGAAGAGGATGCATGTGAAGAGGATGCATGTGAAGATGATGCATGTGAAGAGGATGCATGTGAAGAGGATGCATGTGAAGATGAGTGACAGAACCAAACCATTTTAAGAGTGTTGATCTGGCTAGATTGATTGTTTTACATTGTTTCACTTTTTTGGGTACTTGAAAGTTAGGTATCCCAGCTTTAAACACAGATTCCTGTGTTTGTAGCATGGCCCACCAGTGTCAGCTATAGAGCCTCTGGGATCTAACCAATATATTGAGAAGTTCAGTTATATTTACTTTAGTTATATTGTGCATGACATCACACTGGTAAAGCAAGGCAAGTTTATTTGTATTGCACAGTTCACACACAAGGACACTCAAAGTGCTTAACAGTACAAGATAGAAACAATCACAAAAGGCATTAAGATAAATAAATCACTGTTGATTAAAAAGAGTGAAAATACAATCCTTCAGCTGTAGCATACTGTAGACTAATGTTAAATTTACTCACTTATTATTTCCTAATCAAGTCAACAGTGTTTTTGCTCAACCTGGTGAGTGCAACTTCCCCTGTCTTCACTGAATCCTGTCGCAGCTTTTGAGCAGAATCAGATCCTGCTCTCATTATCGCCATCTCGTTTATCGTGCAACATTTGAGCTCGGGGAACGTGTGGAGTGCTCCTCACGATGGGACGGTCCTGGCTTGGCTCTGGCACTTGTTGTTTGGACTCTGTCATCTGTAAAGACACAATGAAGCACTTGTCCCGGAGCTGTGTGTTTGAGAGGGGGCTCAGAACGCACCATTCATTTGGATTTCTATGGGCCACTCTGAATAACGTCACACTAGCATTTGTACAGGAAACTCCTTCTGCTTTACCAGAACTACACTGAGCCTGAATTATTGGTTAAACGTTAGGGTTAGGGTCGTTAGCTTTCTCTATTACTGCATGCTAACTTGGTTCAGTATGAACAGGGGTTCACAAACAAAACATAAAACTATTTACATATGCATTATTGTTGATTTTACATTTCAGTCCATGTTTGTCCTTAATCATGAAAGCCATTCTGCTGTAATATGTAGTAGTGCTGCACAAACAAGATTATTGCCTTTATGGTATTGTTGAAAAGATTTGTAATATTTGTATGTGTAAATCAAATGCTTTTTTGGTGCATGAACTTTTCCATTTGCTGCTCGAGCCCGCAGACCGGGATGGAGGCCTGAAAGAACAAAACACAACATGCGTGAGAAGAGATAAGCGAAAATGAGAGCAGCAACAACTTCTTCCTAAAACCCTGCAGTTCCAACATTCTTTAGAGAAGGAAAATATTTCAATATTGGTATCACGGTCCACCACTGTCACCTTGTTTTCAATATTGTCCTGTCCTGATATGTATCGCTGCCGTGTCATTGAAGCATTTTTCCTGATGGTTTGTTCAATGAGGAATCTTACTTTAAACATATATTTCAGGGTGTAGCAGGTGCGCAGGAAAAGGTCACATAGCTGAGGAGAGCGCGTCGCTTCGAGGCGATTTACTGGGTGGGTAACCACGGCAACAGTTTAGGCATTTCAGCTAATAAAAGTCCAAATGCATCAGGAGCATCTGCAGACGAACTGTTTTTCTCTGTTATTGACACAAAACATAGTTTAATCCAGTTTTATGTGTGTCTCTAATGAGTTCAGTGTCTTATGCCAAAAAGGATGAAAATCACATGGTGCCAATTGGCAAAAACAGCTTTTAGATGGACTCAGATTAGCCCTGTGAAAGCTGCACGCACATGCATAGACTGCTTAAATTATAATCACATAATTCATGCATCCAAAATACAGTACAGTACATTTAGTATAAAAGCATACAATCGTGTAACAATCAACTCAAGGGACCCTCTAAAAGTAAAATTTATACTTCTGCATCTTCTGCGGCTGGTGTAGTTTGTGTATGAATGGAAACATTCCATGATATGAAATTTTCTTTTTACTATTCCCAAACCTCAATTGTTTCAATGATAAGAGAGCTAATTATTAAAGAAGTAGCTGGCCTATGTCACCGGCTGAATCTTAGCATGATCTCCCAGGAGCTGGACAGGAAGCTGTAGGTGGTGGTTGGTGGTTGTTTAGGAAGTGCATCTTATCAAAGCAAGGAAGCAGGCGCACGGGCAGAGCTGCTATTTCTGTGCATGTGGCCGAAACATGAGGCTCCGGTCTCGCGTCACATTGTAAAAATAACCCCTTCGTGTCTGTTTACATTTAGCTATGACTGTGATGACTAAGTGTCCATTTGGTCTGTGATTATACCGACACTTACTCATTTTGAATACTGCATAATGTTCGCTCACTGTTTAGCACGACTTTGATAAGAAGGTCACATCATGGGCATTTGGACACGTCCCGTTGGTTTGTTTAACCTACTTTGACCTCGTCTTTGGTCTATCTTTGCAGCCCCTAAACGCGACTGACGATGGACTACGTGAACAACACTTCAAATAGCTACAGCACCGGGGACACAGTGAGCGCCTCCCTCGCCAACATGAGCCTTAACCACCAGGAGAACGGCGTCCAGATGGGACACTCCATGAAAGGTGAGTCATGAGGGGAGACGTGGGCACAGAAGGCTGAATTCTACACTCACTCACAACAATGAGAGGCAGGACACTGTGTGGAGGATATAGTACAGTATCTACAGTATGTAGTATATATATTTAAGCAGTGGTGTAGGGATGTGTAGGTTGGGTCTGACATGGTGAGTTTAATATTTGCTTAACTTTTAGATAAGCTATTGGAATGCAATGTAAATATGGTGCAATGTAAATAATCCAGAATTTCTCCTATGGGGATCAATAAAGTATTTATCTATCTATCTATCTATCTATATGGGAACCAGATGTTCAAAATGTTAGTGGGAGCTTCAGTACTTTTAAAAAATATGCTTTTCAGTACAAATTAAGTGACCTTGAATTAAGAATACCAAATGATAATATTTTAAGCAATGAACGGTCATCGAGAATGATGGCTCATACAAACATCACATTGACTTTGGTCAATATGGATACTTTCTGTTTGATCAATTTCAAGCGAATGAACTATTTTAGAAAATAATATGACATATTCCCCTATCTACTGGTATAGGTGCTATATTTGCAAAAAACAAATAGAACATGTCAATCAATATGTCAATAGTGCACAGCAATAATGCATAGTCTTGGATAAATAGTTCTGAATGACCTGCTTGATGTGATCCAGTGCATTTCCGAAGAGCCCTATTTGCACAGCCATAATATAGATAAGAACTGGTTATAGTGACTGTGGAGGACTCACTTCCTCTACTAAAGAGTTTTAAATAACATAAACATTGACTTTCGGTAGGACAGTGTATCGCACAGCACAAGTTCTCCATTTAGGAAGTACAAGTACAAGTTTACAACCAAGTAGACTAGTTTTCAGTAACCAACTTATAGTACATTGATCATATTGAATTGTTTTTTGTCCTCTATTATAAAAAGTTGTATGTTTGTTGGTTGTAGTTTGATCACAGAGTCTGGACAGTCCCCCACAGTGCTCTGCTGTAATCCCTCTTTACATAACAGATACAAGACATGCTCGACTGTTGCCTAACTGCAGCTGTAATCCAGGCTTTTGGGTCAGGGCTCTCAAAAAGCACCAACTTCTACCCGTTCAAAACAAGTCGGCTCTCACTAGTGCAAAGAATATTGAGACGAAGCTTTGTTTGTTGTAATTCATTGACTTATGATGACTTTACGTGCCGTTAAACACAAAGCCTTTCTCCACATCTGCAGGGGAGCTTCATCAGTGCTTAACCTCACGTAATTAGCTCAAAATGGCATCTTCTTTATCACTGTTTCTCTCCATCTCGCCCCACCTTGTACCATATGGCCAATTAGTGCGTAGCTTAGCATTCCCCAGTTTACAGCCTTCTCTAGTGTACTGCCTCTTCCCGTTTCCATTTCTTATTATCTCGCACACGAGCAGGAAGCAGCTATCCGCAAACGTAAACAGTGCATTTATCAACGGAAAAGTACACCGTGAGTATTGGAGTGTTTGTAGAGGGCAGTTGTAGTAGTGATGGTGGTATTGTGTGTTGGCCTGTCACCCTTTGTTAGGCAAAATCGGTAGCCCAGAATAGCTTCCCCTATAGCTGGCATCTAATGAGATCTATGTCTGCCATCTTGGATCAGTCAATATCTGTCAATTCCGCTGTTCTCTTCTCTACAAGACAATCAGTGCCCACCCATTGATCTTACTCTTGTACCGTGATTTATTTACTCACAGACAAACTATAAACATTTGAAGTCATTCCAGCATCTGCAAAAAACATTTCAAGAAAAGATCATTAATTTTAAGGGATATATGCTCCGGCCCGTGTAAGTTATTGGATTGGATTGTTTTAATGCTGCCTATTATGGTAAATGGCTGTAAAATTTGACATCTGTCCAGTGCTCAAACCAGTCCTGTAAGCGGTGTTATCCATGTGTTTACAATAAATATTATGAGCAGCTCGCACTCTAGTTCACCAAAGACATTAATGTCATTATATGGGTTCTGTTGAGTTTGATTTTTGCTAATAGAAAACTCTGATTTTAGGAAACTATTTGTATTCTTATCAATCAATCAATCAATCAATTTTATTTATAGAGCCCTTTACAACACTCAAGGCGACCAAAGTGCTTCACAATAAAATTACATAAAATCAATTAAAAACATGTATGCACTAAAACAATAATTAGTTTAAAAAAAACATTTAAAAAGTATTTAAAAAGTGTCACCTGCTATTGAGTGATAAAAGTGTTAAAAGCCAGTCTGAATAAATAAGTTTTGTGCCTTGATTTTAAAAAGCCAAAATCAGTAAGAACACGCATATCAGGGGGCAGCTCGTTCCAGAGTCTGGGTCCAGGACTGAGAAGGACCGGTCTCCCCAATGTTTGGACCTAGTCCTAGGTACTTCCAGGAGGAGTTGAGATGAGGACCTCAATGATCTGCCTGAGTCACGAACAGTTCGGATAAGTACGGCGGGGCGAGACCATTGAGGGCTTTAAAAACAAAGAGTAACATTTTAAAATCAACTCGAAACAAAACTGGAAGCCAATGTAGGGAATAAAGGACGGGGGTCATGTGCTGACGTCTGGGGGTGTTTGTTAAAAAACGAGCTGCTGCATTTTGTACTAACTGAAGACGATTAAAACAAGACTGGGGGACTCCAAAATAAAGGGCATTAAAGGGCATTTTTATGTCCTGTCTGAATGTTTGATTCAGTGGCTGGCTAAAGTGAACTTTTCCACATTTGTCATGTTTATAACCACAAACAAAACTGTATTACAAAGTAGCATAAAGAAATAACACAATATAAATGATTGTGTTATAGTTTAGATAAAAACATTTTTCTTTGTCTTTTGGTTTGAACATTTCCTAATGACTGCCAATGCTTGTAAACATGACGTGCAAAAGTTCAGCTTGTATTAGTACTTCTGCAGGCCACTGTATGCACTCGATAGATCATATTATTCATAAAGATGAAAATGTTTTCAAATCTATAGTTTATAATTTAAAGGTTATTACAGAACATTTTAACATTGTGTTGTTTCTAATCTCATTTCTACAAATATTGCAGATCTTTGGTATTTGATATTGAAAATGTCTCAGCTGCATGTTGTTTGCAGTTTCCTTGTGAGCCTCCCAGATGTCTGTTTGTTTCTGTGCTAAAATTAGTTCTGTCAAATCCACCTGAACCCTTCACTTGCCTCACGTCCACAGAGGAGGAAGCTGTCCCGAGTGAGAATGGCCTCACTGGGGACTCAGACGAACAGGGTGCTGAGGGTCAACTCTGTCCCACTGTGGAGGACAATGAGGTCCCACCTGGTACGCCCCACGGTCCGCTAACCCTTGTTTGGCATGCTTTGGTTTTTGCCCTCTTTATTTGATCTTTTTTAAGTTTCTAAGCAGCAGAATCCTCTCGGTTCTTGGTTTTATGCTTGGGTGACTCTGTATTACTTTCAGCTTTGACTAACCTTTCTCCCACTTTTTTCCCGCCTTTGTGAAAATACCGTGAACCCGGCTTGTTTGGCTGATATATATAGTCATCTTGAGCGGAAGGAAGACATAAACCTTCCCAGCTGTCACTGCAGACACTGTGCATTAAGCAGTCATTTGCATGTTCAATCTCTTATTCATGTTTCAAAGTGCCACAACATGGAACAAAAGTTTAAGAATTGGCTCAACACAGTCATGTGGACTCCAGTCCTGCTTTGATCAAATATACTCGCTCTGACGGCTTGTCCAAATTGTGACTGGAAATGGGTTCAACAAGGTGAAAAGTCTCCTTGATGTGTTAACCAGCCTCCTAGATCCCAGGACACAACAAATACCTCAACTCACCCCAAAAGACAGAGGAAAAGACATTGAACAAGCACTTTGCCAAATCAATAGCAGAGTATTCTTGTTCCTTACTGTTGTGTAACTTGTGCGGCTTGTATGTGTCCCGCAGCGGAGGCAGCAGAAGACGAGAAAAAGAGCGTCCCTAGCCAAGATGAGGGGCAGTCCGGTAACAGGCCCTCCCTCCTCATCGCTGCTTGTCTTTGTTTTAACGCTTTGGAAACTATATCATCTCAAGGCTTTCTTTTTTTCAGCTTTTCTTTGTAAATGGGTTGTGCTTTGAGCAGAGGTGACACGTATCCTCACACTGAGACTCAAGTAGGATGATATTATTATATCGGTGAATATTGTTAAGTTGAAAGTGGTGGGACTACTGGCTACTTTCTGCTTTAAGTAAATACATAGTTTGCTTAAAAATTGTGAAATACTTTGCAAGTTTTTGACATAAACTTGTCCCCGGAGATGTTAAGTTTGGGAATAAATCAGCCTTATAGGCTTATATTTGTAGAAATGTAATTTGTTAAAAACAGTAAACTTTAGCTTTTTGAATACATTCATTTGACATAACAAACAGATGCCATACTGCAAAACAACACCATATGTAAAATACTTTGAATACATATGTGCTGAGTTTTTGTGTCACCTCTGGTCTTTGCGTGCATTTCTTTCGTTGCTTATGTTATGCTTGCTTTGGCAGCTTGGCCCTTTCAGCTCGTGAGATCTTAACATGCTTCTATTTTAAACTAAGAAAACACGGTGACGACATCTTGGGGTATTTTTTGCGTAAAGGGAATGTCTCTAAACCGCAGGAAGATTGAAGTTCTTCTCAATGATCTGTTCTGCAGATGTTTCTCTCCCGAATAACGTCCAAAACAGCTGTAAGACATTGCCTAGGTGTAGAACGGCCGTCGTCCAATAGAAATCCTATGGAAAACTGCCTGTGAATACACCAGAGCCTGCTTGGACGGATGTGCCTGCTATGGCCTATTTGACCTAATTGTGGCTGTATGTGGTATTGGCTTGCATTGATTAGCTCGCGGCCCATCAATCCTGGTTGAATGACAGGGGTCCATTACTGACACCGCTCTTGTGTTTTCTCTCTCCTGCTTTGCGGTCTTTCGGCTGACATCAGGAGCGGCTCCAACAGGTAGGACCTCAAACTGTTATCGACCCATCCCTGACGATATTCATTTGGCTGTGAGGGTGGATATGAATACACTCAAGACAATAGACTTAACGTAAAAGCATCGGTAATGTAAGAAGACAGGCATTGATTTAACATTTAGGTGATTGAGACTACTTCCACTTCACTTTACTCACAATCATTGTTTATAATCACAAATTATGAATCCAATGGAGGAAAACTTGGTTGCAATATTATCCAGTAACAGTTCATTCACTTTTCATATAATTTTACTGCGTGTTCATCATTTATCACTGATATAATCCTCTATTAGTATCAAGATATCATGACAGAAGCTGTATCAATGTGCCGAATCAATTTATAAAATAATTAAAATGCATACTTTACAACTTACTTCATATTAGTTATTAACCTGCTGATTATACTTATTTAGAGGACTGTCATTAATTATATTGGGAATATGAAAATCCTAATCCGGACATGTCTATTGTGTGCAAAAACAGTTTCCCCATAGATTCTGTCTCTCTTTGAAATCTCTCCGCTGTGGGATGAATAAAGTCTCTCATATAATTTCATGGGGGGTCTACACTCAGTTGAATGGACTTTATTGGTACAGAGCCCAGTTTACACAAAAAGAATTCTTGGACATGAAAAAGTCCTCTCACAGATAGATAAGTCTTTTCTTTCCTTTACGACTCTGATTTGTACCATGTAATTGACTTAAAAAAGGCTGAAAGACGGAGACAGTTGATGATTCATTTATCGACTGTGTTTTGTTTGTAAAGCAGAATGCATCACTTGTCTTTAGTCACTTTTTTGTTTTGTTATGAACCAACCGCGATCACTTCCTATTTTTGTAGTCTTTTTGCCCTTTCACAACGTTATACACTTTTATTTTCTCACCTTAAACCACATGAAGCTGTGTGTTGGTCATCAAGCCCTCTTTATGTTTATTCCTTTTCAATGGGGGAGAGTTAGTGAAAGCCAGGGCTGTGAATGTCACCATTAATGTCCTTTCCAAACAAACTAGCGCCGCCCGCTCCTTCCACCGGCATCGTCAGCGCAGAAGAACCGTGCCCCTCTGAGCCCGGGCACAGCGGCAGTGGCGGTGGTGGTGACCTCATGGGAGCGTCCTGCTGTGGTGTCCCAGGACGGGAGGAGGAGGAGGAGGCAGCAGCGGTGGACAAAAAGCTGACTGAGCCGCTGTGGACCTCTGAAGACTTGGCAGCGACGGGACAAGCCACTAGGGGGAGCTCTGAGTGGAGCGATGCCGATGCCAAGAGGGCTATCAGCTTGGACGCCACTGAGAGCTTGGAGGGGATTAGCCTGGATGCGTCTCTGGTCCGCAGTGCAGCGCTGGAGGACCTTACAGCCATCGACCAAGGGCAAAATAGTGAGAATGTAGAAAGTCATGAATCGGAAGAAGCCGTATACGGACAACGCACTCAAAGCCTGTCTGATACTGACTATTGCACTGGAAAAATAGATGGTCCCACACAATTACATGATGCCCAATTCTGCGATTCCGTTCCCACGCTTCCTGACAATGTGGAAGAGAATAATGACTCACTCGACTCATGTAAAGATTCAATCAATTTGGAGATGGTTTTGGACAGCTCAGAGGCGAGGCACACCTCTCCGGCTAGAAAGTCAATGGTGCCGGTGCCAGTGTGCAAAGGTCTGTTATGAACTTGTAAGCGCTCCTCAGTTTTTTACACCTGTTTGAGTTTGACGGAGCCGCTTTTGTATGCAGCACCTCTTCCAGTGTTTTTTAACTCAAAAGAAGAAAAGCTTGGCATTCTCCCCACGTTTTGGTTTTTTGGTTGGCTCACTTTGCAGGTTATGCAGCCCTTAAATCAGCCACTGTATCTCTGCATGGCGCACATCCTGCATCACCGGTTTCATTTATTTGCCATCCTTAAATAATTTCTAGTTTTCAGCTTGACTGGCGATCTCTGATGTATTACAATGGTTTCTTCTTGTCTCCAAACAGCTCAAGCCAAATCTGACAGCCCTGCAGACAAGGTAAGCAGCTCATTAAAATCATGGCTTTCATTCACCTTTTTGTTTTTATTATTCCATCTGTTGTTTTGATTTGGTCGTTTCTGTATTCATTCTTTCATTTTAATCTGTTTGTGAGAAAGACACACCCCTCCACCCAAACACCTCCCTCTCCCCTTAAACGGCCGTCACTAAATGCAAAGAGCAAATCACAGTCTCCTCGAAACGGCCACAGCTCCATCCCCGTCAAATCCAGCAGCACAGAGCGGGCGGACCACAGAGTGAGTATGGGCGGGCTGCACTACATGGTTGTGTGTGAGTTTCACCTCGAATGGAAAAGTTTGAACATGTAGAAAATAGACCCATCTGTGTCCATGCTCACATTCTGTTTGGCAAAATGTTTAACTTTCATTTTGATCTGCACAAAAATGAAAAAACTCATGTTTGTGTTTTTAGAACATGAAGACTCCAGCAGCCGTCACTGCGGCCAGAACCACAGGTAGATATCACTGGACCTTTATTAACATCAGCCTTTATTTAAAAAGTGTTGGACCGTGAAGCAGGTTATTTATGACCTTTCATCATTTTATGATCCAGTTAATGCCAAGAAACCTCCTACTCCCAAAAATGACAAAGGTAAAAGATGCACAAGTTAGAATTCACTAACACACTGTTAGTTGGCATGGCACACGCCACGGTCTGATCCAGTCCGGTCTGGATCAAACCCACGGTCTGATCCAGTCCAGTCTGGATCAAACCCACAGTCTGATCCAGTCCCGTCTGGATCAAACCCACAGTCTGATCCAGTTCCGTCTGGATCAAACCCACAGTCTGATCCAGTTCAGTCTGGATAAAACCCACTGTCTGATCCGGCCCAGTCTGGATAAAACCCACAGTCTGATCCAGTCCAGTCTGGATCAAACCCACAGTCTGATCCAGTCCAGTCTGGATCAAAGCTTGTCAGCTTCTAGTGTGTGTGCTTCTTTATCGTTTTAACCTCTAGTGTGTCGTTGATTTTAATTTTGAGACTTTGCTTTGTCCTTAGACCAGAGTGGACACAGCAGCCCTGGCACCACTAAGTCTCCTGGGAGCATGGCGCTGTCCAAGTCTGTGGCTGAGGCCAACAAGGTGAAGAAAGTGGCGGTGGTGCGTTCGACACCCAAATCTCCTGGGTCCCTGAAGACTCGCCCTGGTCCCATGGCGGCTGCCACCGGCTCTGCTGCTCCTCTGCCTGATCTGAAGAACGTTCGCTCCAAGATCGGCTCCACAGAAAACATTAAGCACCAGCCTGGAGGCGGAAGGGTAAAGCACGCCGTCCTGTTCACGCTCATTCTCCTGTTTGTGTTTGTGGTGATTTATGTGCGTTCACATCTGTTGGAATCATTTCTGTTTAGTTTTACAGGTCACACAAACTCCTGTGCACCTAATTCTTTTAACTTCTTTTCAATCTCAAATGTAACCTTTTGATTTTCAGGTACAACTCCTCGATCAGAAGTTGGACTTTAGTAATGTCCAGTCTAAGTGCGGCTCCAAAAGCAATATTAAACATGTCCCCGGTGGCGGCAATGTGAGTAACTGAGGGATTGACTCAATATGGATTTTCTTGAGTATCTCTGCAGTTATGATCACGGACGATCTTGGTAATAGAAACAAACTCAAACGAGCTAATCAGAGAAACCCATACATTTCATACTCAATACTTAAATTAAAACACATGACTGCAGACCAAACAAGCACATTATATTATATATTAGACTATCTTCTTAGTTCTTAACTTAAACTGTGATGTTGCTGATACTAACATGATTCTCTGTACATCCTGAAGGACAGAGCTTAAAAACACAGAGTGTGTTCTATCCTCCTTCATATTTTCTCCTTTCAGATCAGTATGACATGGGTTTGATGATCTTTTGTCTTGTAACTTGTTAGGTCCAAATCCTCGATAAGAAGACTGACTTCTCCAGCGTTCAGGCTCGCTGTGGCTCTAAAGACAACCTGAAGCACACTCCTGGAGGAGGCAAGGTGGGGAATCAGACTTGGCTTTTATTATTTATATAGGTTTGGGATCTGAGGAAACCATATTTAAATGGATCTGTTTCTCTTTATGATTTGAGTTTTGACGAAGGGCTTTCTCTCATCACATTCTGCACAAACACACACACTCAAGGATAATGGTCTCTTTACTTGTGCACTTTTCCAGGTTCAAATTTTTGATAAGAAGTTGGACTTAAATAATGTCCAGTCTAAGTGCGGCTCCAAAGACAATATCAAACATGTTCCTGGTGGCGGCAATGTGAGTAACTCAAGGGATAAACTCAACTCCTTTTTGAGTATCTCTGCGGTTATGATCATCAGAAGCAACAGGCACAGGTCTGGACTAGGACTGGTTCACATCTGGTCCCTGCTTCCAGTCCCAGTGCAGATCTAAGGGTATAACAGTTTATATTAAAGTAGCTCTACACGTTTTACCCTCAGATTCATCCTGATAGAAACACCCTTTTCTCACACTCCTCTCTCACTTCACCTAAAGATCCACTCCTCTCCTGCACTGGTCTACACTCCAAACTCTCAACTATAACCTGTTTTTCTACATATTGACTTTTCAGGTTCAAATTTTTGATAAGAAGTTGGAGTTAGCCAGTGTGGGGTCGCGATGTGGCTCCAAAGATAATATAAAACACACACCAGGTGGTGGCAATGTGAGTAGAGTGGAACTGCTCTTGAATGCACCTTCAGAGGAGCGGGATGCACGAGACCTGTCTGTCAGCCCCGACCCTGACCTCAACACTCTTTAACATACCTCCTAACGCTGTGGTGGCAGCTGAGGCCATGAGCCCCCCCCCCCCCCCCCCCCTTCCTCCTCTAGCGCAAAACAACACTAGTGACACCTGAATGCATCTCCCTCTAAATCTGATTAACCCGTATGTGATGCTCATGGCCCTGTCACATCTACTACCCTCACTGTGAAGATTTACCAACGTCCTGGTCCCCTCTGCATGCAGTCCAACGAGTCCTGTGTGTCCAATTTGTAAATATTAAGAAATCCTTTATTCGCTCCATATTGGGGAAATGTCAGTGTTGCATCCAAGTTACAGAACAGTAAGAATAAAATAGGAATAAAATAAAATAAAATCTCTAACTCTAGCATAAAAAAAGCTGTATAAAATCTCCATAATTAGCATAATAAGGAAAGAAGTCTTAAAATCTCCAACTTTAGCACGATGAAGAAGCAAGACTTAAAAAAACCCCTGACTTTAGCATAATAAGGAGCAAGTCTAAAAGGCCGTATAGTCTAGTGCAGCCATTCCCAAACTCAGTAACACCGAGGCCCCCTTAAAAATCTGACGGGTCTGCGTGGCCCCCCAAAATAATAAACAAGAAGACAACATTAAGAATAGGCTCTTCTGGTTATTTTATTTTGGGGAAATAGCCTCTGCTACAAACATTGTAATACAAAAATGATTACAGTGGATTATTCAAGTCAAATAGTGAACACAAATATTTTAATATTACAAAAAAAACATTATAAATTTAACATTAAATAATTATATTATTTTTTTATTTTTTTTATGACCTCCCGCGGCCCCCCTGCAGTACCCTCGCGGCCCACCAGGGGGCCGCGGACCCCACTTTGGGAGACACTGGTCTAGTGCAAGTTCTATATAGTTGTGTGTATACATCTGTACATATACAGTACAACATCACAACATAGGAAGACGGCAGCTTTATTTGATACATAAAAGGCTGATAATCGGCACAGACGATGCCTGTAGCGCCCGACAAAGGCGCAGTGTGCAGCCATTCAGAGATGACCTCAGCTCAAAGAGACTGAGAACATTGTTCAGACAGAGGCCTGTGATTCAGTTTCTATCTGCTGTCGACATGAGCGCTGCATGTATCGCTGTAGTCCATAGAAATCTGCTGATTCATAACAACAAATAATCCGGGTCCAGCATTTGCACTGAAATATTAACACATAGCAGTCATAGAAGTAGCGTCTAAACACTAACAACACCTACATTCAGTCTGCATTCAATTCACTGTGTTTTTTTTAATTTACTTTTGTATGTTGTGTTGTTTTTGTCTTCAGGTTCAAATTATGCACAAGAAGATTGATTTGAGCAACGTCCAGGCCAAGTGCGGCTCAAAAGACAACATCCGCCATAAACCAGGTATTTATAAATTTTCCATCACAGAAATCAGAATTCAGAAAAGTCACGTCACTGCTGTAACTTATTAGGCTATATCCACACGAAGACAAAACGCTTATAATTTCAGAAACTTTTTCTGTAAACACGGAGTTAGCTCAGTAAATGTGTGCGTCCATATGAATGTAGTCAATACGCCTGAAAACGCTGTGAAACTATGCCAGACCTGTTGGTGGCGCTGTGACGCAATGACGGGATCAAGCCCAAACTTCCGTGACGGGAACTGGGCATGCGCAGAATGTTGTAAACAGACAACATGGCGAGTGGGCGAGCTGGTACTACATTAGTATGGACGGACGATGAGGTTGAACTGTTGCTTCGGGTCACACTGGATTACAAAACCAACAAGCTACATTGTTGTTGTCATTATTTTCTGAGTGCGGCGCATGCGTGCTTTAACAAGAGGCGGGGCGATGACGCAAGCGTCTCAGATACATTGCGGAGAGGCAGTAACCACGGAGCGGCATATACGGAGTTTTGAAATCTTTCCACTCTGGGACCTACTTTCAAAAATGTTCGTTTACACCCCCCCAAAACGCCGGCCTCGTATGGACGATACACTGGATTGATAAAGTATTTTCGCGTTTAGGCCTGAGCTTGACTTCGTGTGGACAGGGCCTTAGTGAAGTTGAATTTTATATCCGGGGTGTCCAAACTTTTTAGTAAGAGCGTCACTTTGGTTCACCAGACTAGTCCATGACTGGTTTCTGAGCTTCACAATGAGGTATAGCTTGTGTATATTGGTGGAGCTGAAGTTGCCTGCATGACACTGTGAACTTGTGTTCATGATCTCTATGGCTAGTTTGTGTTAGCACGGCAGCCATAACAGGACACAGCGGGCCGCATTTGGCTCGTGGGCCTTAGTTTGGACATGGACACGTTCTGTTTATTCTCGTCCATTTCTTTCTCGTCCATCTACATTTAACAAACCATTTATCTGAGAATGTGCTCGTAGTTTGTGATACTAAAACATGTTTCTTTGTGGAGGTGGTGGAAACATTGAAATCAAGACCGAGAAGTTGGAGTTCAAAGTCCAGTCTAAGGTGGGCTCTCTGGACAACATCGGTCACACCCCTGGAGGAGGACAGCGAAGGGTGAGGCTCTCTCCAGTGCACATAGAGCGCCTGCAGTGACGGAGGCGGACGCTTTTTGGGTCTCGCCGTTGCCATGGAAAAGTCTCCACCGCTTGCCTTTGTCAGAAGGAGTTAAATAGCTCTGTGTTGTGTTCAGTGCTGAAACGATGTTAGATCTCGGTTTGACACATTTCACAAACAGCTGACAGACTGTGTTACGGAGAAGGCAGGTGTAAGCCGCAGTGGACGAAAAGGCAAACGAGTTATTTTCGACATTTTGTTCCTAATTGTCGTTGTGTTGGTTCAATGTCCAGGTCCAGGGGTTCTCCATTGACCTGCCTGGTTACAAATTTAATCCATACAATTGTAAAGACGCAGGGATAGCAGCATAAATAAGCAGCACAGCATTACTCTAAACTTTTAAATATTTTTAAAAGTGTATTAAAGCTGGGGTAACTAACTTTCAACCATAGACTGTTAATGTATGGACAATGCTAACCCCCTAGCTCAGCGGTGCTCCATGCGTCCATTGCAAAGGCAGGGTGGGTCGCTCGTCCGATTCGTGGAGATTCATTTAGTTTTCATTTAGTTTTCATTTGTACTTTTTCTCATTCGTCGCCCATTTTGTTATTATTTCAGTTCATTGTATGTTTTCTTATTATTTTATAGGGCTGCACAGTATGAGTGAATATAGTATATATATACGATAAAAGAAACTCCCACAGTGGGGAAATGAACTATTAGTATATATTTGTAACCTGAATTATCTTAAATGAACACATTAATCCTGTTCAAAAACAAGAACAACACAATTCTCTAAGACTGTATTTCCACAATCATAATATTTGATTATAGAAACACAGTGTATATTTCACTATCTAATGTTTTGGATTATAATCTGGCCGTATTATAATCTCCTGTGCAGCTCTAGTTCCCTGTGTTGTCGTTTTGGATCTGCTCATTTTGATTGTGTTTTTGCTTCTGTTTCTGTGGACGCCATCTCATGTGTTTGTGTTGGGTCATAAGCAGCGGCAGAGCAGAGAGGGCAGCGTGTCGGACAGCCCCTCCCTGCCCTCCCCCGGCCTCACCCCTCCACTCACCCCCCAGACAGTGTCCCCCGTCCCCACCACACCTGTGCTCACCAACCCACTCATAACGATTGAGGACTCCTGTAAGTACAAGCGGCCGGAGGAGGCTCCATGTGAAGTAGTGAAGTAGTATCTGTGATGAAATAGACTTTGAGTAGAATTATTACATGTTTGTGTCGGTTACTACGAAGACACGGGTCGAGGTGGAATGGATGCAGAAAACAGTGTGCATGAACCAATCTGGCTTTTTTATGTACCAATCTCGATATTTTGCCTTTAAATATCTGCCGATCTTTGGGACTATAAATAACCAATTTCCCTGCTGTCAATCACTGTTAATGCATTACAATCTGTGTCCATTTTTGCTGTTATTTTTCCTCATTAGTGAGATTTTAAAACCCTGACAAAAAGCTCCACATTTTGTCTGATTCACATCCAACTTCGGAAACAGAACAACAACAATATATACCTAGAAGCAGGTAAATAATCTTAAAACATCAAGTGTAACTTCAGGAGAGAACCCAGACTTGACCCCAGAATTCTACACCAGAATCATATCTGATTTTTCTTGTCTTTTTTCTCCTCTGAACTCGTAACTTGAGTGCACCTGGAGGGATGGCCAGACGGGCTTTGGAAAAGTCTTTCCCCATTACTGTTACCTAATGGGGGAAAATGCCATGGCATTTGGGTTGCCCCGAGCAACCCTCTGAACCAGAAAAGACAAAAACAGCCACCATCGCACTATCACACCATCAAACCAAGTCCAAACCTGACACTTATTTACCTTTGGTGCCGTTGATAAAAAAAAAAACAAATAACACTGAAATAATAAATAATAAGGCTTAATTTAATAATCATTTCAACATGATTAGAACATATTAATATTTGTCTTTATAGCATAAAATAATAAAACATAGAAAAGTCAAATCTGTTGCCGCCATATTGACAGTTTCATGTTTAGAGAGAACAAAATGGTACACCTGCTGTTTACTGTTTATGGAGCTGGTCTGGACACCTCTGCTGCAGTGACGCCGTCTGTCCTGCAGAGGGCGCACACGGCTCAACACTGAACACAGATCCTACAGTCTGTGCCCTGTACTTATGTCTGCGGGAGGAGGAGACGCTGGAGGTAAACAGGGCGATCCTATAATCATGCTGTAATTGGTCCAAATGATCATAAGCACCTTTTCCCCTCAGAAGTGAGTTATTTCCAAACATTGGAATAATAACATTGCACTTTAAGACAGAGACGCCTCGATGGTCGAATTTGAATTGGGTCAAAATGTCTGTCTCTGGATCACTGAGCTGAATGTTTCACTGAACACTAGTTTGGAGCCAGCACTTTTAGTTTTTGTTTGCTTTGGACACCCCTGGAAAAAGTCCAAAATATAATTATTATCAGAGGCTGAATATAAAAAATAGGAACTGTTGATGGCCGAAAGAATAGAAGTGATTTCCTTTTCTTAATAGTAAAAAAAAAAAGACTTTTATATAATTATGTGTTTTTTAAATGACTTTAATGTGAAATGAGTTTCACTATAATTTCTGGTGGATTTTTCTGAAAAAAAAATGTTTTTATTGTTTAGATTTGACCAAAATTGAACCAAATATAACTATAAATATGCTTTACCTTTTATTTTAAAGCTCTGGCACCTAAAACAAAACAAAAACATCATCCTCCCAACATAAGGATCAAACATCCAGCCACTTCATTTCTTTCCCCCTTCCCCAGTTTGTGTGGTTGACGGTGCCCTCTTCCTCTTGTGCAGATTGAGAGCCACAAACTGACGTTCCGTGAAACGGCCAAAGCTCGCACCGACCACGGCGCAGAGATCATTTCTCTGGAGGAGTCGCCGCAGCAGCTCAGCACCATGTCCTCCTCCGGCAGCCTCAACATGGCCGACTCCCCACAGCTGTCCACGCTGGCCGACCAGGTGTCCGCCTCTCTGGCCAAACAGGGCTTGTGAACGTGCCCTCATGACCACCCCCCCCCTCTCTCTCTCTCTCTCTCTCTCTCTCCTTCTCTCTCTCTCTCTCTCTCTCTCCCTCTCCCTCTCCCTCTCTCTCCCTCTCTCTCTCCACGATCGCAGCCTCGTCGAGTTGTGACGTCGTCCTGGTTCATCTTCTCCGGACTTTTTAGTAATGAACTTAGCTTTTTATCCTTCTTTTTTTAATACATTTGAGCTCATTATTAGGGCTGCACGATTCACAATATATGTTTTTGAAGTAAGTGGAAATCAAACCTGTGTGTGTTAAATTTGGAGGGAAAAAAACAGTAAGTAAAAATAACATCCAAATGATTATAGTGCAACCACATGGATTTGAATTAAGTCGTTCAAGCCGTTTTTTTGCCTTTATTTGAAAATATTATTAAATGGTCAAAGAGTAGAAGTTGGAACAAGCAAAAATGCACCTTTGGTTAAAATAAGGCTAAAAATACAATTCTTCTATTAGCAGATATTAATTACGATTGCGGTTTGGATCGGACTGCGTTTATCGTGCAGCCTCACAACCTCCACTGTTTAACTGCCAGTTTCATTTCCACGCTGTTCCCACGGTAACCCACCTCCTGTACCTGTCCCTTTAAGAAACACAGGCGGCCCTTCAGAGTAAAAGTCCTCAAATGTAATTCCAGTGTCTCCCTTCCACAGCAGCCATGTTGTCCGTGTGCGACTCCCTGCTCATGTACTCACCCGGTCACATCTAAAGTACTGACCAGAGAAAGATGCGTCATGACGTCACTAGGGGGCGGGGTCTGGAACGATGCAGTCACACAGTACGACGAGGATTGAAAAGTAGTAGCAGCATTTTCTTATAAGCAGAAAAAAACATGCTTTCGGACCTCACCGTTTTGTTTTAGTCCTGATTTAAAAGAAACGAGGGAAAGAGGAAAGTGGCTTGAGTGTTGGGCACAGTTTTATAACCGTACTGTGGATTTATGAAATGTATTTGATATGAAGAAAACATTTGTATTGTGCCTGCTACTGTCAGTGTTCTTCTTTTTTGTTACTGCTCTATTTGTAAAACGCGCAAGGTTAGGAGGCGAAAGCAGCGATTCACCCCTAGGCTTTTGAAAACGTAACGGCCAAATTCGACAGTATTCCTCAGCGGAGGTCACATGCACTAAGTATAGGCGTTCATTAATATTAATTACCTAGTATTATCAATTTTAACCTTGTAAGAAATGGACGGTTTTTGGATGGGTATGTGTATATGAACGGTTGACTGGGCCATTATAGTGCGAAAGGGGGATTTGGTGAGCACTGCGAGTCTGAAACTGTACAGAGATAAGGTACATATTATTTAACTCACTAAAAACAGAATTATACCTTAACACATGAAATACTGTATCCCTATTGTCCATCATTACTCTTCCCGATAGTGCTCAGTCTCACTAAAGACCTTGCATGCTCCTCATGTAAGAGAAAAACTGCTTGTTGCCTCCCTCTCACAAAGTGGTCTCTATGTAATGTATATCCTATTTATATGGACTGAACCGCGAGGATATACTGGTAGGTTTAAGCGTGTGCGTGTGCGTGTGTATGTTTGGGCCATAAAGCACTCCCTGTAACAATGCAAAAATCCCAATGCCAAAATGTTAGGTTCAGGGGCAGTAGGACGTGTGTGATCTCTCATTATCTGCATGCGTAAAGAAATCTCGGGTGTTAAGACCACTTTCAGTTTAGTGCGTGAGGAGAGATTGGGGTGGAATGGCGCCCCCTGCAGGCGGTAAAGAAGACTTGGTGCCAGAGCTTGTGCTTGACTCTCTTTCCGTTCAGAGCCAACGGAGAGGCGGTTTTTGTAGTAACTAATTCTCATCACCTTTTGATTATTTCTGATGCTGTACAGTTGTGGCAATGTGATTGTTCGTTATTGTGCATTTTATCAATAACTGGTTTATGATGATTCTTGTCGCTGTAATATGTGTATTTGAAAATAAATGCTATGAAGTCAGAAGTCCTGCGTTTCATTTTTGTAATTTTTTTTTAATGACAAACGCCCCTTTTCATTCATTGACTGTTTATTCTCTGGATCCAGCTTAATTTATTTCAAAAGGCTGACTGTCTTAACTATAAACTCATACTTTAAATTGGTACAAACGTTTCATAAATATCTCAATTTCTTATCTGGCCCGTTCACATTGTTTTACCACCAGATGGCGCTTAGGACAGACAAGCCTTGAAAGATGACGCATGCGCAGAAGACTCCACTACCATCACTAATGGACATTACATAATCAGATTCAACTAAACCTGCTGCAGCAGTTTGTTTAAACTAATCTAAAATATGAAGGGGAGTTGAAGTTACAATAATTCCTTTTATTCCTAAACCTTGATAAGAAACAGGAGCCATAACAACCATGCCAAGTTAAACATAAATGTTTTAATGGTACTATTTACAAAAAACAATTCTGCTTTTGATTAGGTTAACTGCTGCAACAATTGAACAGGTACATTGACATCTTGCTTAACTACAAAAGAAAAAACAGTGATTGAATGACTGTGGCATAACAGAAAATAACCATAGATTTTTTGCATAGCAATTAGTTACATAAGAAGGGGCAATAGTGTGGTTATGAGTGTGGGTGGCAGAACGAAACTCACCAAAAGCAACAGTAGTCGCGCAAATCCATATCATGTTCAAACTATTAACACCAGAAGGAGATTCCCTTGAATTGAACCTGAGTTGGGGTGGCTTTAGTGTGGGTGCCGCTATGTTTGGTTGATTATATTGTTAATATTTGCAAGACTAACAGGATTATTGTCAAGCAGAGCCAGTCAAACTGCTTCATTTTTCATTTTGCCACACTGTACTGGTGAAACACAGAAACGATAAGGAGATGGGAGTGAGGCGGGTGGTAGAATCATTCCCATGTTGTCTGTGATCGATCGGTAAGTGGTGCTTTGTGGATAAACTAGCATTCGAGTAGCATGTTGGAAGCATGCAGCATTGCTTTCCGTTGGGCAAGTGCTCAAAAGGACATCCCAGTAGTCTACACGCCATCACCCCGTGTTTAAAACTCAACAAGAAGACACACGGAAAGGGGAAATACAGCAGGATAATTTCCAAAGAAAAGGAATGATTTTTTTTACTTTTTCTATTAACACATAAATAAACATGTGTTGAGCTGGAACAGACAGAACATACAAAAATAAAACTCCAGGAATGAAAAACAAAGAAAGCAAACCAACAAAACTAGACTTGGCAGTTGCAGAAGTGCTGTGGTAACTCTCAAAGACCAAGGGACAGTCGCATGTACCTGTGTGACGAGGAGGAGAGGGCAGGGATTTTTCTTGTGTCGTTATTTGTCACTCCACTAAAAATGTACATGGGATTTACAAGCAAACTATCGATAGAAAACACCCTTTGGCCATATTTTGAGGAGTCCGCTACATAGTGCGCTACAAGTGTACACGCGACATATGACACCACTAAGCCCCATGTACATTGTTTAGCCTACTACAGAAATCATTTTTTGTAAGTCTTGTTTTTATTTGTTTTTTTTCTTTTTTTACATTTATCCTTTTTTTCTTGTGACAAAACAAGTGTAGGGAAAGGCTTCTATCTCCATAATGTTCACTAAAAACTGTGAAAGTATTAGACTGATGTTTGAATATCAAACAACAGGAACCCATTAATATCTTATTTTGCGTCGAGGTTCTGTCTGTTAATGCCAAAGAGGAGCTGCAGGGGGCGCCGTCAGTCATTCATCGCTGGGACGTCCTGTGTTTGGAGTCTTCGTCACAGGGCAGGTCCATGTCGTCAGAATCCAGCCTCCCAAAGGCTGTTGCTCGGCAACCTGAGATGCTCCTGATCCTGGGCCTGATCTCCACCTCTGGCTCGAGGGCGGGGTCTTCAGCCATGGGGAAGCTACGGCGTTCCCACGGCGCCACCATCTGGAGGAAAACATACATAACATTGTAAATAAAACCCCTCGCAGCGGAGACAGTGTAACATGGAGCAGAACTTACCCGTTCTTCGAAGGAGAAGTCTGGCGTGGAGCAGCGCGTGTCCTCGGAGGAGAGCAGGCGCAGCGAGTCGCGGGAGCACGGCGTGTGGGGGTTGGACGTGTTGTCGGGGCTGGGGGGGCTCATGGGCGACGGCACGTGGCTGTAGTCGTGCAGCAGGGGGCAGTGTCCGGGGTCGGGGGAGGCGGGCTGAGGCGTGGGCGGGTTTGTCCCACACAGCAGCGGCGTGGTGCGACCGTCTAAGGATTTATACGACCTGCAAAGACACGTGTTCTTAGATTGTTCACTGGAAACTTACATCACAAGGAAAAACAATGGACACATTTACAAAGTCCGTAATTTAAATAAATATGTTCCTTACACGGACCTACTGCCCCGTCGCTGAGCTGGAGCCAGAGCCATCCAGGACCAGCGAGACCTCTCCTGGTCCTCGTACGGCTGGTGGTGCTGCACAAAGGCTGTGTCTGACAGGTCCTCTACCTACAAACACAAACACAAACACATGAGGTCATGGTTCTGTTCCAGTTACTCTCTCCACGACAATCATTTTACAAAACTACATGTCTGATGAAAATAATACTTGCCTCTCGCTGATCCTCCTCTTCAGTTATTTTCTGAGAGAAAATATCCACCATTCGCCAACTAAGCAAAAACAAACAAGTGTAAGCAGTGGATCGCAGCATGTGGGTTGGAGTCAGGAAAAGTTGACAATGTAAACTAATGACTTTGGAAAAACACTGCGCTGGGCGTGTCAGAGTGACTCAGTGTAAATATTTACCTGGGAGTGAGGATCTCTTTGTACTGCAGCTTCTCCACTCGGGTGGTGGCTGCTACTGACATCGGGATTACAATGTTGTTGATGTCAAATGAACTTTCTCCTCTCCTCCTCTTGATCGGCTGCTGCTGCAGAGGATTTAAACACAGCATGTTACAATCAAACAGGAAGTTATTCAACTTTAAACAGTTTAAGATATTTAACATGTACTGCAACAATATTAACAAATATGGGCTAAAGAGCACAGGACATTATCTATGGCAAAAACACATTGTTGTAGCACTTTTCCAACACTAGATGGCGCCCTGAATATGACAGTGTGTGAAACATTAGCACTGGCTGCTTACAGGTGTGCTGATGATGCTCTGGGCCCCAGGGCCCAGGGGAGTGGAGTTTTCAGAGGAGGTGGACAGCTGTCGTGTGAGGGGGCTGTGGAGCGACGAGTGCAGGGCCAGCGTGGAGCAGGGCGAGGTCGAGTCCATGAAAAGCTTGGGAGACACTGCAGAAACAGAATCCAGTTAGTTATCGGTTCATATGAGCTCCTCAGAGCTTCAGCGGCTGCACTCACTGTCTGCGCGATCCAGAGAGTGCTCTCGTAATCTTTTGCGACTGAAGCTCTTGTCGTAGGGTCCGAGGGGAGTGGAGGTCTTGCACTGACTGTCGAGTCTGGATGTGTTCAGGACAGAACTGCTGCTGCCGCCGCTCTCCAGCGGCCTCTGCTTCTCACGGCTCTTATAGTGCCCCAGGCCTGAGACAAACAACACACGGGTCTCACTTCTGTCTCACTTCACTTTAAAGCACTTTACAGCAGTTTACAGCACAGCACTTACGGACTGCCATGAGCGAGTTGGTAAACTTGTGCTTCTCTTTGGAGGAGGATAACTTGTGTTTGAGGGAGAGTTTCTTTAGAGGTTTGCGTCTCTCCAGTGACTTCATGTTCCACTGACTCTTCATCACCTGCTGCAGGCGCAGACTGACGCTCACGTCTGCAGAGGAAGAGGAGACATCACTACATGCACTAAAGCTGTTGTGTTCAGTCGTTAAACTGCAGGAAGTTTTTGTAAAGCCTCTTCCGGTTTGTCTTCCTTGCAAAAGTAAAATAGGAAACGTCTGAATAAACGTTTTAAAACAGTGACTGTGCACTGACCGTCAGGGAAGGACAGAATGGGGTGGACGCCAAGATCCAGCCTTGACAGGCGCTCGAGGGTGGGCAGTTCAAACTGAGGGTCTTCTCTGGGGGTGGGCCAGCCACCACACATCACACAGCTCGTGTTAACTCTGCAGCTACACGGAACACAGCTCTTTGGGGCCTGAGAACACAATTCTGAGTTAGACTGAGGCTCAAACTGAATTACAAATCATTTAGAAAAACACATCACTGGATCAGAGGACCGGGCGAGGTTGATGTTTGTGACATGCATTTGGACATTTTATAGAACAGTGCACCACAGTTTAGCCTCGTTTCCTCTTTCCAGGCTTCACTTTTACAGAGATCAGATCTTGTGCAATGATAGAAATAATACACTTTGTTCACTTTGTCCTATTCATTTGCAAAAGAGAAAAGTAGATGCATTTTCCATCTAAGGCCAATAAGCGTCGAAAAAGGTGCAAGAGACAGTGACCACAAAGATCAAAGGCACAGCTGTAAGAAACCTCGACACACCGCAGAGCAGCAAACGTCACAACAGTAACTGACAGGATCTCACAGCAGACGATACGAACTACATTTCATTTGACAGCGTTTCAGCGAGTCTACGGCCTGCAGGGAGTTCCAAAACTTGGCAGTGTTTTTGGTCAGATGACTCGTACGAAAGAGAACGATCTAATCACCAGCGCCATCAACATCTTTGTTCTCAGCACAAACTTGTGAGACATCACATGGCTCAATAAACACTCTTTGTTGAACTGAACCGGACGTTGAGCTATTTTCATAAATGCATCCCATCTCGAGGCAAAGATGCTTTATTTAGAAACAGAAGTGTAATGTTAAAGTAAATGTATTTAGAGACTCGTTTACTGGAATAGAGAGACAGCATCGTTACCATGACACCCACATCATCCATCGTCAGCAGCGTTCGCTCACCTTGCCGTTGAGGTTGGGCACAGAGTTGGGCTGAATGAGTCTCCGTCGGCGACAGCTGGTGAGGGGCCGTGTCCGAGCCGCCACACACGAGCTGTCGGGGGCCGAGGGCTGCAGGGGCCGCTCCGCACACTCTGCCATCCTGACAGACAACAGGAGCGTCAACAGGCTGCTAACGAGGGAACTAGCTTACCTGGCTAACAGTGAGTTTTACAACGTATTGAGCAAGTCCTTTGTCAAGTTTGTATATTTATGATGACGTTTGTTGCCATGGGGTCCGTTTTGTAACCAGTAATAATATATTTTCTGTAGCTCTGGGCATAACCCTAACCCGCATGAGAGACAAGACAGTTTTGCCGTGTTACCTGCTGAGGGCGCCGTTGACAGGCTGTCCGCTTTGGCCTTTCCGGGCTCCCGTAGACTCTGCGTTGGTGATGTGGGCGGCGGCCGTGTGCTCGAGCCGTTCTGAAACCGCGTCCTGCAGCCACAGATAAGAGCGGTCAGAGACTACACCTCCCATCAGCCCCCACTGACCACAGCGTCACTGAGATATTTCAGGCCGCTGCAGAGAGGAGCCTCGTCATGCGCTCCTCAATTATTTAGTTGGATTTGAGAAGAAGCCGCGAGCCATGAACAAACACACCGCTCTTTATGAACACAGGTTTGTAGAGACTTTGAACTGGAGCAAAACTGGTGTTTTCAAATCAGTGCAGAATGTGTACAATAAAATAAACTCCTTGTAGAGAGATCAGTCTGTTTATTTTGTGTTTTAGCCGTTCTAAACACTTCCACAAATGCAATAAAATAAGTTTGAGAGAAATCCATGAGTTTGGATCCCTTTGAAGGCCACCGAGGTTACTTTAACCACCACAATCATGTCACACACATGTAGGGAGTCCCAATAGCCTTCGGCAACGTGTGCATTTATATTTTAGAATTATTAGAATTTTATTAATATCATCCATCCATCCATCCATTTTCTTCCCTTTAATCCATTTCTGGGTCAGGGGGGTGGCAATCAGAGATGCCACCCAAGTTTATTAATATCAGATTTTTGTAATCATGCCTTTCTTTTAAGTTGTTTGCCCCTTACACCAAAGCCATTTCCTACTTTGTGATTTCTTATCATTGACAAAGGCAGTAAAAACCATTCTGATTTGCATATAGATTTCTTTTAAAACACATTTTGTAATAACATTTAAAAATTGAGTAAATAGTTTGAAAGGAAATCAAAAAAGTGTTTTATTTTTTCCAAATAATATATCAGACTTTTGTACTTTCAGAGCAAGACGGTGTGTAGTTTATAGAATGAGTAGGACCTGCTTACCGAACTATTTACAGGCTCTGATTTGACTTCTGCGACACTCGGAGCGACGCCTCCCAACTCCACTGAGCCCTGAGGAAGAGCACAGGTCCGTTTGGGTCACAGCGGTAAAGAACTCACACCAGATTCACTTTATAAAATCTCAAGTTTCTCTTTTATGTCATACATGGACCGATCAATCTTTTAAAAAGTCTGATCCTGATTCTTTAACTTCTGTATCTGCCGATGCCTGATATAAAACAATGCCACTGAAGGGACTGAACATATATTTTCCGTCTTACAAAAAAATGAGTCAAATTGTGTTTTAAACTGGTTGTTGATCCTGTGCACAACAACAGAACATGTATCTGACATTCTGGGCTAATATCAGCCAATATACAGAATTATCATACATCATTAAAGCCAAACCAACAAAATGTCCAGCTCGAATCCTGATACCAGTACTATATCGCTGCATACTTATGTCCTTTACTGTCTGTATTAAATAAATGCAGAGATCGAAGCCTCATTTTCTACAACATAATGAAAGAAATCCCGCAGAAGTAGCAGTAGTAGTGGTGGTAGCAGTAGAAGCAGTAGTAGCAGTAGTAGCAGTAGTAGCAGTAGTGGTGGTAGCAGTAGTAGCAGTAGTAGCAGTAGTAGCGGTAGTAGCAGTAGTAGCAGTAGAAGCAGTAGTAGCGGTAGTAGCGGTGGTAGCAGTGTTAGCAGTAGTAGTAGCAGTAGTAGCAGTAGTAGCGGTAGTAGCAGTAGTAGTGGTGGTAGCAGTAGTAGCGGTGGTAGCAGTAGTAGCGGTGGTAGCAGTAGTAGCAGTAGTAGCAGTAGTAGCGGTGGTAGCAGTAGTAGCGGTAGTAGCGGTGGTAGCAGTAGTAGCAGTAGTAGTAGCAGTAGTAGTAGCAGTAGTAGCGGTGGTAGCAGTAGTAGCAGTAGTAGTAGCAGTAGTAGTAGCAGTAGTAGTAGTAGCAGTAGTAGTAGCAGTAGCAGTAGCAGTAGCAGTAGTAGCAGTGGTAGCAGTAGTAGCGGTAGTAGCAGTAGTAGCAGTAGTAGCGGTGGTAGCAGTATTAGCAGTAGTAGTAGCAGTAGTAGTAGCAGTAGCAGTAGCAGTAGTAGCAGTGGTAGCAGTAGTAGCAGTAGCAGTAGCAGTAGTAGCAGTAGTAGCAGTAGTAGCAGTAGTAGCAGTAGTAGCAGTAGTAGCGGTGGTAGCAGTATTAGCAGTAGTAGTAGCAGTAGTAGTAGTAGCAGTAGTAGTAGCAGTAGCAGTAGCAGTAGTAGCAGTAGTAGCAGTAGTAGCGGTGGTAGCAGTAGTAGCAGTAGTAGCAGTAGTAGTAGCAGTAGTAGCAGTAGTAGCAGTAGTAGTAGCAGTAGTAGCAGTAGTAGCAGTAGTAGCAGCGGTACCTTGCTGGCCCGTATCTGTCGGTAGATGTCGGTCTGCTGCCGGATGCGGTACTCCAGGTCGGAGATGTGAGCCTGGAGCCAGTTCCAGTGACTGATTATTGCCGCGCGCTCCACCGTGTATCGACTCTCCGCCCGCTTCCATCTGCGGAACAAAAACATCCATTGTCAGAATGTATATTAACGCAGACTTCAACCCATTTCTCGGAAAAGATTTACAAACATTAAACATTGTATTTAAAGAGCATATTCTGTTTGCTTTTATTATGAACTAGAACAACATGTATTTGAGAAATGAACTCCAGAATCGTATAATGTGCCATCCTCACATTGATGAAACTAGCTACAAGCTTTAAAAAATAAAAATAAATAAAAAGGGCTAAATGATTCTGGACTCAAATGGGCCCCCGGCAAATTAACCTTGATTATAAAGAACATCAAGGTTTTAAATACTCCATTCCTTGCATTAGAATGGCCTTTCAGAGAATTGTGATCACTTAGCAAAGTAAACACATAATTTAAAGTAATTTGAACCACCAGAAAATCTAAAAGCAATGCAATAAATGTGAACTGTGCTGTAATGCCTGAGAGCATTCCCAATGTCAGACAGCAGGGGTCAGTGAATCAGCACATCCTTGGGCCTTGCACAGCTGCAGACACCTTGAAAAACCTGCCTGTTCTGAACAAACTGTTCGTTTACTGCGTCATTGGTCAGAAACATGTCTAAATATGTGTGACTGGCCTCATTTCACTCCGTGAGCAGCCGCACCATCTGAGATCTCCATTTTCCCAGTATGACACACTGGACATTTCAAAAGGCAGCAGACATGAGAGGAAAATGTCTGCTCCTGCACTGCGCACCAACGGCCACAGAGGGCGCTGTTTCACCTCGAAGTCAGAGGCCAAGGAGTCTGCTGAACAATGAAAATAATGACTCAGATACCAGACAAAGATAGACCTTGCACTCCTGCCCTGCCTTTCCCAGAGTACGGTTTCACTGGACTCTTCAAACGGAGAATGGACAGAGAATTCTAACACAGAAGGCGGAATCTTTAACAACCAAATGCTGGAATAAATAAGGAGACAGCCTGAGGAGCAGACGGATTTGAAAAAGCAATCTACAGTCTGGTTCTAGCGCTGAGGGGGTGGGGCTCAGGCAGGAAGTGGTGCAGCAGACAGAGGCAGAGCGAATAATCCAACCAGGAATCTTGTGTTATTGGGAACTTTAAGTGGGAACAGCTTCCATTAAAAAGAGGAGGACCGGCCTCTCGCAGCTGAATACCACAGACGAGGGCTTTCTAACCGCATCAAGGACATTACTGCAAAGCACTGAATGCTTGGGCTTTAAACTTTAAATTCCACAACACAATGATGTGTAACGTGTATTTATATTTCACAAAGTACAACTGGAGAAATTCTTGTCAACCGCTCAAAAAGGAGTCGTTAAAAGAAGCAATGTGTGCGTTACATGTAATCCAAACTCAAAAATAAGAAAATGTACTGCGCAATGAAGACGTCTAATTATTTAGCATAAGAAGCAGCGGAAAACAAACCCAGCTCTGATCTGATGCAAACATTCACAAAACAGAAAAAAACGTCAATTTCTACGAGATTATTGAGCTGGATTATTACTCCAAGTGAGATTAGTGGATCATTTTATGGTTCTGGGTTTACACATTGTAGTCTTTTGGATCCTAAAAGGTCTGATTATGGGATTCTTTTTAAATATATCAATATTTTTGTTTAAAATGTCCTCACTGTGGGATGAATGATTTTGGTGATGGAGATAATCTCGTCACATTAGTCCAAAAATGACCAATCAATTAACGGGGTAAATCAATAATTGATTAGTTGCGACTAAATCAATGAACTTGTAACAGCCCTTGTGTTTTTGCTCACAATCTGAAAATGTGAAAACGAAAATCTAAACAAAAATGAATGTTTTTAGGTTGAATCAATTAAGCAAAATAATAGTTGGATTTGACGTTTTAATCTAGACAAAAAACGATCCAAAAGCAACGGCACAGAATAGAAAGTGTCTCGTGCATAAACGACACACGATAGTTGCAGACGGAGCTCGAATCCGCCTGAAGATTCAGAAAGTGCAGTTTCACGTGTTGTGCTATTATTGAACCAGTGATGACCTCAATCGACAATGTGAAGGAAGAGGGAAGGATGGGGGGGGGGTCCCAGTCCCGCACAAAGCCCCGCCCACTTCCCTCCAAAACCAGGCCATTTTTCCTCCCCCTCTCGTCACAAACACAAAAGCACCAGCGGCAACGGCGATCACCACCGTGCGTTCCCTACACGTCAGCACATTCTGCATTGTGCTGTCTGGACACTGCACATATGTTGGACCAGACAGTTTCATGACGCCTTAAACTGCCTCAGATCCACGTTCCCCAAACATGCATTTCGCTCGAGAACTGTGCATTGTAGACGATATGTGGGGAAAACAAATGGACTGGTTTTTACTTAACCAATTGATTTATCTTGAATTCAGATCTGATTTTTTCATTTTTAAATTCTATAGTTTAATTGCTGCATATTTAGGCCAAACATTGCGACAGCTGCAATGAAGAGGCACATAACTACACAGCCTAGTTATTTCCTCCAAAACAGCAGGTTTAGTGGAACAAACAAGTAGTCCTCCGCTTAAGTCCCATGATTGAAGTATCTCAATTTGAATGTACGTCGATTTCAAAGATGAATAAAAGCTCAGATTGTGACAGTCCTACTTTTAATTTTACAAAAACTACAAAATTTGCAACAACAGAGTGTCCGGTTGTATATATTGCTACATAGGATGACAATCAGGATGAGGACAATGAGGCTTCCTTGTTCACATTCCTTTTGTCATAAAAGTCCTTTTCAAACAAACAAACATGGAAAGAATAACTAGCTGCTCTTTCGCCAACTTGGCACAGATTTCACAAACTATTCAAGTTTCAGTTCTTTTCCATCCCTTTTTATAAGCACTTTCTCACAATGAGCTCAGCAATTTACCGTCAACATCTAGGCTCCACATTTTTTTTCTTTTGTTACAAAAGACCAATTCATTTTGAAGAATTAAGCAACACTGCACTAAACTAAACTTGTAAGGAAGTAAGTAATCTTTATCTATATACCGCCTTTCACAGACCAGAGTCACAAAGCGGTTTATAATTGTTATTTTTGGGCATTTGTCTCTCTCTCCACACAGAGATGGGAGCGGGGTCGCCAGTACAGGAGACGCATGCCAGACCTATTGTACATATTTTTAGTGGTAGGGGAAACCGGAGGAAACCTACGCAGACACGGGGAGAACATGCAAACTCCACTCAGAAAGGCCCTCTTCCGAGCGGGATTCGAACCCAGGACCTTCTTGCTGAGAAGCCAGAGTGCTATCCACCACTACTGTCCACTTGTTTTGTTATCCAATCCAGAGATTAAATGAAAAGTGAAATACTAAATGATGTTGTGCCCTGAGAAGAAAAGACTGAACTATCAGCTCAGACACAAAGTGGCCAGTGTCAAAGCATCAGCTGCAGAAAGAAAAGTGACAACAACTGCACCAATGTGGATCTGGATGGTGACGTTTTTGTTTGGACTTATGAGGAGTGTATTTGGCCACTTGATAAAATAATGTCACAAGTTCATATTTGTTCTTTATTTGGTTGGAACAGAGCATGGACAATGTTATCAAATTAGCAATATAAATCTGCATTTAAATCAAATTATATCAAAATTGCAGCCGTTGTCCAACAGTCACGATCACAAACACTTTCACCCTGAACTATTGAACATGTTTATAGTAGTAGGCAGAAACCGGAACACCTGGAGGAAACCAGAGCCAACACAAGGAGAAATGCAAACTACTTAGAAAGGCCCGGTCTGGAGGTGGAATCAAACCCAGGACCTTCTTGCTGTGAAACACAAGTGCTAAACCGCTGCGCCATCATACAGCCCACTTCCTGAGCCTTAAGAGCAGCTCCGTGAAGTTGTAATTATTAACCACATGATTTTTTTATAAAACTCATAATAATTCGAAAGAAAACCACCTTTTCAGGCCGAGATACACCAACCAGACCAGAGCCAACACTCAACTGCGCACTCCCAGAGAAGGTGGCGCTGTGGATAGTCTGGTGAGTGTCTGGCGAGTGTCTGACCCCGTGGAGCAGAAAAACGAGCAAAGCAGCTCGCACAGGGGCAGGTAGGGCTTGTTTCACTCCTTTTCCATCACTGGTGTAACAGCTGTATGGAGGACCAAAAATGACTAAAGTATAAATAAATAAATAAATAAATAAATACAGGAATATATTAATAAATACATTCATTTTGGACAATAAAAACTAAATATTTACATTGATATGCTAAATATTACTCTGAAATCAAATAAATATACTTTTATTTAGGTTATTTATCAATATCTACATTTTTTCCTTTATTTATTTATCCATTTATTGCATATATTTATTTATGTATTTCTACATTTCTTCATTTATTTATTTATGTATTTCTACATTTCTTCATTCATTTATTTATGTATTTCTACATTTCTTCATTTATTTATTTATGTATTTCTGTGTCGCTACATTTCTTCATTTATTTATTTATGTATTTCTACATTTCTTCATTTATTTATTTATGTATTTCTACATTTCTTCATTTATTTATTTATGTATTTCTGTGTTCCTGTATGCTAATTAGGTGGGCGGTGCTGAACTCAATCTAGAACAGGATTGGTTAGGATTGCGTGAACTCTGGTCTCGATCATTTACTGCCTCACATTACGGTACTCTGTTATGTTAGCTAGCTAGAGATCCTCTGTGCACTTTTGTGTGGTATGATGGCAGTTTCGAATGTAAGTTTTTTAGGAGCCGTTGCTCATCAATTAAGAGCATTAGCAAATGATGTTAATGATGTTGAGCATAATGCACCTGAGGACTATCTACTCTTTCGGCTGGAAAGACTATTAGATGTTTTAGTTCATCACAGTGCTGACCCAGAGGTAGACTTTGATGCAACTGTGCTGGACGCTCTTCAACAAGCTATACAGCAGCTTCACATCCTCTCACAAACCGAGAAGGCTAAAGCTTAGCGTACATCAGACTGGCAACTGATTATATCCGTCGCATATGAGTTGCTGCCCCGCACACATCGACA